CTGTGCGTGTGCAAGGGGCGTGCAAGGCCCGTGTGCTTGTCGGCGTGCGAGGCGGGTGTGCGAGGCGCGCGCCAGACCCTCCCTCCCCCCCCATTCCCCTACACGTTGATCTTATTCGATCGGCCGGGCCGGGCCGGGCCGAGGTGAGAAGAACGGCGCCGCGAAGCCCACGGGCGCTGTGCGGCGGCCAGCGGCGGGCGGGATGAGTCGATCAGATAGGCGAGGCCGCGGCCGCTGAGCGCCCTGCGATTCTGACCCGCCGCCGGGCCCAGACCGCCGCGCCACGCGTGGGAGCGGGGCCGCCGGGCCCGTGTGTCCCGGCCCGTACGGTCCCGGCCCGTATCCCGGCCCTGCGAGCGCCGTGCAACGCGTGGGAGCTCTGCGCCGGGCCCTGCGGCATGCAAGGGCTTTGCCAGTGCCGTACAACACGTGTGAGCCGTGCACGGGGCTCCTCCGGCTCTGCAGTGTGCAAAGGTTGCGTGCCAGGCACTGCAAGCTTCACACAAGCTCTGCATAGCCCTGTGGTGTGCAAGGTCTGCGTGCCAGGCTCTGTGAGCTTCGCACGGGGCTGCACAAGCCTTGTAGCATGCAAGGGCTTTGCACAGGGCTCTGTGAGCACCGTGCAACACGTGTGAGCTGTGCACGGGGCTCCCCCAGCTCTGCAGTGCGCAAAGGTTGCGTGCCAGGCGCTGCAAGCTTCGCACAAGCTCTGCACAGGGCTGTGCAAGCCCTGTGACACACAAGGGCTGTGCATCAGGTGCTGCAAGCTCCATGCGAGCTTTGTGCGGGGCTGTGCAAGCCCTGTCGTGTACAAGGTCTGCATGCCAGGCTCTGCGAGCTTCACATGGGGCTGTGCAAGCCTTGTGGTGTGCAAGGGCTTTGTACAGGGCTCTGCGAGCACCGTGGAACACATGTGAGCTGTGCATGGGGCTCTCCCAGCCCTGTGGTGCTTGAGGGCTGTGCACAAGGCCATGCCAGCTCCACACAATGAGTGTGAGCTGCATGTGGAGCCACCTGAGCCCTGTGCGTGAAACCCTGGAAGCTCTGTGCCATGTGCGTGAGCTCTGCACAGGGCTGCACCAGCACTGCAGCGTGCAAGGGCTTTGCACAAGGCTCTGCAAGCTCCATGCAACGTGCCTGAGCTTTGCACGGGGCCGCACCAGCCACATAGGCCCCACCTGTGAGTGTCACACAGGGCCATGCGAGCGTACAAGCCCCGTGCAAGGTATGTGAGCACCATATGAGGTGCCCAGGCCTGGCAGGAGACTGAGCTCCATGTCGTCATCCCCCAGGACACCCATGGGTGACACCCCGGCTGCGCTCCTTGGTGCTTTATTGGCAGCTTGTGGTGACAAGGGGACGGCCATGGTGGTGACAGCAGTGGTGACGAGGGGACAGCCATGTTGATAAGGGGACAGCCGTGGTGCCAGTGGTACCGGGAGAAGAAGCCGCTGTTTTGGCGGGAGTGGCAACTGCTGGTGGCCGTGCTGTGGGGACACTCCAGGAGAGGGGACACCAGCTCAGTGGAACCCTGTGGGGTCTCCGTCTGCCAGGGTGACACTGGGGACACGGTGGGGCACAGACACCTCCCCACACCACCGTGTCCCCAGCTGTGTCCCTGTGGTACGCAGCCGTGTCCCCGTTCTGCCCCATGGCCATGTCCCCCCTCCCCATGGTACATGCTGGTGTCCCTGTGCCATCACAGATGGAGCTGTGTCCCCAGTGTCCCCCATCCCCACAGTACACACCAGCATCCCTGTGCCACCACGGACAGAGTCGTGACCCCATGTCCCCTGTGTCCCCATCGCCCTGTGCCCCCATATCCCCTGTGTCCCCCATGTTCCCCTGTCACCCCATGTCCCCTATGTCCCCCATGCCCAGGAGACACAGCCGTGTCTGTGTCCCCCCACCGTGTCACTCCCTGGTGCACTGACTCCTTACTGGGGCCGACCCAGCTCCGCGGTCGGGGGGTGGCCCGGAGGGAGCTGTGCGGGGACGGGGGCTCAGGGCTGGCACTGTGCCGGGGGGGGGCACACAGACACACTCACATTCACCCGTGGGTGCGGGTGCACTGCGTGGG